TATAACCAGGTACATAGGAATATGATGGATTGGTTGCTTTAAGGTCTGTACTTTATAGTGTATGAAATATTGCTTGGGGAGACAAGATGTATTGTTTGTTTTTAAACTAGTTGACTATGATGTAGCTTTTCTTCGAGCCAAGACATCGTGTTCAGGTAATTTAGAGATGTGGTCATTACTATTAATTAAGATAAGAGAATTCTTTGACTACATGAGAGTGGATAGATTGAATAGTTGATTAAACTCACCATACAACAGATCATCCATGTATTCAAATGCATGTGTTTTGTTTCTTCTTGCCCATTGTCAATACATGCATCATATTTACTTTTCTAGTTATTTTGATTTGAACCTAACAGAATGTGGTCACAAGGCTAGATAATCAACAATATCAAATAATCTATCTAGGTCGTGAGTTATTTTGGGTAAAATCAGATACTTGGTCTTACCATGTTTATTACTGACGATTCGTTACACTTATCGAAGGTGTAAACAAGTTTTGGCACCGTTGCTATGGACTCGTGGTGTTTAACTAGTTTATTGTTGAGGTATTGCGGTAACTTGGACTTTGATTTATATTTTTTTATTTGTTTTGTCGTTGTGATCTATACTACTATTGGGAGAGATTCTCCAGATCTAGATTTCCTCGTATGTGTCCATATTGACAAAATCAATTATCATGCTATGAATGAGTTAAACAATGCAAGCATTAAGAAAAGGAAAAAAAACCCTAACAATTAATGAAAGAAAGCATATATATTAAAGAACAAATTCAATACATGAGAGTTTCAAAAGGATTACATTGATTCCCCAACAACAAAAGAAGTTTAGTTCACCATATTCATGGTGAAACTAGATGAAATGCAATGAAAGAGTGAAAGATAAAACCCTAGAAAGGTGAGAAAGGTGTTTTAGCATCCAAAATCCTCCTCTAAGGGGTGAAATATTGTTTTTTTTCTTTGTTCTAGCCAAAGATACTAACTCTAGGAAGACTAAAGCCTTATATAGACTTCTAAATATTACAGAAAAATTAGCCTAAGCCCATAAGAATGCCGCTTAGCGGTAAATACTGCTCAGCGGTAAGTGCGTGACTTCTATTCTGCCCTTCAGCTGCAGTTTTACCCCTCAACAGTGACTACGGGTCTTCAAAGTGCCATTCAGCGGTAAATGGCGCTGAGCGGTGCTTGCGGCTTCTTCCTTTAATGCACTTTTCCTTTCTTTTCTGAATCTAACTCCTAGCTCCTTCACTTTTTTCACTCAATTCTTCTTAAAACCTGCAAAAAACAAAGAAATCAAGCATAACACATGTCCAAATCTCTTATTTTCAACTCTTATCAATTGGGTGCTCTAGTGGTTCGTTGTCTAGTGTATGCAGGATACAATTCGAACTAGAAGCACGAAAGTTTCTGAACCTCTTCTTGTAGGTCTGGAGAATAGTAGAAGAAAAAAGGAGGAACATGACGTCTAGAGAACTTTTCCCTTCTCCTAAGACTCTTTTACAACCTTCACCTCAAAGATTTGACCAGGAAACAGAAAATATGGCGGAAGAGCAGAATGATAGACGTACCCTGGCAGCTTATGCAACATACATTGGCCCTCATCATTTTAATAGCATCGCAAGGCTGAGGGTTAATGCTGCAAATATGGAGATGAAGCCTGCTTTGATTCAATTGGTGAAGAGCAACCAATTCAATGGATTATCACATGAAAATCCATCTAAGCATCTGACTACATTCAAAGAGATATGCAATATTGTGAAGATCAATGGCATGCTAGATTAAGCTATTAGACTGAGCTTGTTTCCTTTCTCTTTGGGAAGTAATGCTAAGATGTGGTTGAACTCCTTTACAGAGAATAGTTTTACTGAGTGGGAAGTCATGGTTACAAAGTTTCTGAACAAATACTTCACACAGTCAAAGGTGAACAAACTAAACAAGAAATTTCTTCTTTCAACCAGGGCATGGATGAAACATTATGTCAAGCGTGGGATCGATTTAAAGGCTTATTGAGAAAGACGCCCACACATGGCTTGGTGATGGCAAATTTATGAACACCGAATAAACGATGCCAAAAACTTGTTTAACCCTCGGCAAGTGTGACCCAATCGTATCAAGTAGTATACTCGGTAAAACCAAGTATCATTTTCTGATGGCAAATTTATGAAACCGAAAAACGGCGCCACAAACTTGTTGAACAATCGGCAAGTGTGACCGAATCGTTTCAAGTAATAAACTCGGTAAGACCAAGTATCGTTCTCCCAAAGGACTCACGGCCTAGTTTAGTTATGTGATTCGTTGATTATTTAAGACTTAAGAACGAAATAAGTGGAGTTTAATATGCAAAACAGAAAATAAACATGTATGCATGAATTTGATCAATGGCTAAAACAAAATACAAACACTTCAATGGAATATATGGATGAGTATGTTGTTGGGGTTATCAATTTCATCTTATCCACTCTCATATACTTTAGGAATTCAACATTCTTTTCATCATTGTTAATGCCACTCTCTAAATTACCTTGCAAGAAGGCCTATCCCTAATTACGAGTTCATACGATTCCTAGCATTCCTAATAATTATTTCTTTTAGTGCAGGAGCTTAACGGCAACCAATATACTATTGGGAGAAATTCCCCAGATCTAGACTTCCTCGTACGTTCCCGTATCGACAAAATCAATAATCATGCATTGAATGAGTTAAACAAAGCAAGCATTGCGCAAAGAGGAAAAACCCTAACTAATGATGAAAGAAAGCATAGGTCTTAAATATAAGATGTAAAAACAAATTCCATATATGAGAGTTTCACAAGACTACGTTGATTCCCTAACAACAATACAAGGTTTAGTTCACCATATTCATGGTGAAACTAGATGAATAATAATGAAAGAATGAAAGATAGAACCCTAGAAAGAGAAAGAGGTAGCCTGAGCATCCAAGATCTTCCTTCAAGGGGTGGAAAAGAGAGTGTTTGCTTCGTTTCTGCCAAAGATACAAACCCTAGGACGTCCTAAAGCTTATATACTATTCTAAAATTATCGAAAATTTAGGCCCAAGCCCATAAGTGTGCCGCTCAGCGGTAAAGTACCGCTCAGCGGTAAGTGCGTGAGTTGGTTTCTTCCCCTTAGCGGCCATTTTGCCCCTCAGCGGATCCCCCGTGAGCTTCTGAGTGCCGCTCAGCGGTAACCTGCCACTAAGCGGCAGTTGCGGCTTCTCCTTTTGCACTTTTTGATGTCTTTTCTGATTTCATCTCTCTCCTTCTTCACTTCTTTCACCAAATTTACCTTAAAACCTGCACAAAAACACTGAAATCAAGCATAAACTTGTCCAGCTCTCTTATTTATGAAAATATGAATAAAAGCATGATTTCAAGCTAGTTTCTAAGTGTTAAAGGTTGCTTTTAGTATCAATTTCAAGCATGAAAATAACAGTTTTTCAACTGTTATCAGATATCAATTCTGGTGTCATGACAGATGACTTTGGTTTCACATTGGTAGACTTGAACAAGATGAATTATATTGATGAACCATTTATCATGGCTAGTTAAGCAAGACAAATATTTTACGTAAATGATTCTTTTAATAAAAAATGGTCAGTGGTTTTAGAAGGAAAAAACATGCACGGATATGATGATGAAGATTCTCTTGATATATTTGACACAACATCCGTTGCTTCAAGACCCATTGAAGACTCAATTGATGACGTTGTCGATGACATCCAGGCAATTCGTAGTGATCATAATGAAGGGATCTGGGAGAAACCAATATCTTAATAGGTTGAGATATCTTTTGTAATGACTTTATATGTAATTTGATCATATTTGAAAGACCAAAAAGCCATGTCTCTATCATTCATGCATCATGGGATGATGTCCCAAAGGTCGAGAAAAACCTCTTATGGCAAGATATTAAGGTATGTTTACTTAAAAGAATTGTCATATACTTATTTCTTTTATCTTATTATGTCATTAACATGTTTTTTGTTTTAAATAACAACATTATGATATTCCTAACACTGCACAGATTAGAAAGAAAGTCTTATCGCATATAGCGATAAGATGGAGGGATTTTAAGACAAGGTTGACATGACTATATGTCTTTGGAGAAAGACAACATGAAAATCCATCTCAACATTATACCTTCACAGAGGAGGATTGGATGCAGTTTCGTGCATCTAGAGAGTCTGAGGAATGGAAGGCATGTTTCTTAGCATCTACAAATTTTTCATTGGGTTTTCTTTTCATTTTACACTTATGAATATACATGGTTTCACAGGGTAAAAGGTTAGCCGCCCAAAAAAGGCAAAGGATAAATGATGCACCACACTTATTATCACGAGGTGGTTATGCAAAATTGGAGAGGAAAATTAGGAAGTCTCGAGCGGATGCCTTGGGGCTTCAGTCACCGGACCTAACACCTCCACTTGCTAGGTACGAGCTGTGGAAGGCTGCTCGGACTAAATCTGATGGGAACATGACGTCTTCCTCCGCTGCCTTGATCTCACAAAAAATTATAAGTTCAAATTCTAAACATTGTTTGATTGTGTATTTATCATAGCATGTCTTCTAAGTAACTTGGTTTTTTTATGTTTAGGATGAGTTGGTTGAGCAGGAGACTCGGGGAACATTTGTTGGCGAAGGTGATAAGAGGGTCGCACCTCACACAAAAATTGATTGCAAAATTAATGCAGTATAGTACTAGGAAGTGACTCCTAGGTCGTCTCTCAAGGACCAAATGTGGTTCGAGGCTTAGGTCAAACACGAAGTGGGGGGGGGGTTTGAAAGTGTTTTTGTGATTCAAAATGAACTAAAACAAAACTGGAAATTAAATTCAACCGAACATAATTGAAAACACTGAAATAAATTAACAAAGCATGATGACCAAACGATCCTACATTGTTACCGAACGATTTCTAAAACAAGTGAGAAAATTGGAAATGCAAGAAGATAAAGACGTCGAACATAATAGACATCATTAAAGTGAACGGAAACAGTAAACCAAACATAATAGACAACATAGTGAATGAAAACAGTAAATTGAACTATCCGTAATCAAGATGTGTGAACTAATTAAAGTACAACAGATAATAAAGAAACACTTAGCATGCTATTCAATTGGAACACTTAAACTAAAGAAATGAAATCCTATTGATAACAG